CCCACAGACAACCTCCTCTCAGGTGCAGCTTTATGTTGATCATGACACAGAAACAGAGGAAAGACAGACATGTAACAAGGGACAAATGTCATTTGTATTTGATCTTCATCGGGCAGACGCGAGCAAGAAAACTGTCATCCATTAAAACCCCACCAAAACAGTGTTTCTGTGACGCATTGATGGATATATTTACTCAGCTTTGTCAGAGAGCCCGCTGTCTTTCACAAAGCTGACTAATGCGACCACTGCTCACTTGCTTGTCTCTGTCCTGGCTGCTAATGCTTCAAGAGAGCATGTAAAGCTTAATCCCATATTACTGTGGCTATGTTAAGTGTAAGCATCTGACTGTCACACTTCCAGGCAGAGCCTACACGCAGAGCAGGCAGATAAACAGAATTCCTGGTTGATGGGTCTTGAGCCTCAATCAGTGTTGAAACTTTATAGGCTTCCTTAGACTAGTTCCTACATGACGTGGTTGCGGAAGTGCGGATGAAATGATGGCTGACCCCCTCTCATCTCACGATAATCCTTCCGGAGGGCCTCATCAAAGGGAACGTGTTATTTAAATCGGAGAATGCGTGGTGTTTACGCAGCCACACCTTACATAATGACTGTCTGTGACGGCCCCCCACCGACCAAAGTCCCATACCTCTGATAAGATCATTTACTTTTATTTTGCCAAACTAAGATTGAAACTGTAAAGGAATTTTAACAATGCATTTCAAGTCTGCTTTTACTGCTCGAACTCCCATAAAAACATGTCGAAGATACATGGTGTGAAGCTGTGAGAGGCAAAGCTTTTCAGGTCAGTCTCTGCTAAGCACGGGCTTACCACTCTCCCCCTCTCTCCAGTGGTAATCTCTAACTAATAGCAAATTAGGATATTGACAGCGACAGCACCAGTGAGTTATATCTTATGCAGCCTTGGACGATGTATCATGCAGTGCCAAGGTTGGAAATAAGAACCCCTGCTTACAGATCACTGTCAAGGTTATCAACTTTTAAACACAGACTGTGACCTTGATGTTACAGTATTGTCCACCTCAGCCAAACAAATTCTAAATAAAGTCAACCAAAAGCCGAAAGCATTTACAGAGAGCAAAGTCATGGAAGAACAGGAACCATGTTAACTCAAAGAAGCTGCATCCTTCATTATTTTGATATCAAGCTTTTACTTGCTGTTGTGGAACACATTTACTGAGTCATTGCTTTGATAAGTGATAAATATTCATTGTTACAACACTCATTTCCAACCAGAGAGGCATTTCATTTTCACCATAATCTTGAAATGATGCGGGAAGAATCAGGCAATTACTGGATTCTATGGGACCAATTAATCTGTAGAAAAGTCACAAGTACTTTTTACTCATCCAAGGCCTTTTTACCAAATTGTTTATATATTTTCTGTCTACTTACTATATATCAAACGCTATTGCAATTGAATACAAGATAAAGTTGAAAAAAAAACACATGGCGCCCATTTCTGTATAGGTTTGAAGTGACAAGTGAACAGGATGTACGTCTGTGCAAACATCCTGTTGCAAATCTTTTCTGTGTTTTAAACCACAGCTTGACATTGCATGACAGCCACCATCTGATATTCGTCATGAGATTAAAGGTTTGAACACCAATATTATATATAAACACGATCTGATAGTTGAAGTTCCTAGAAATTCAACTACCAGCCACTGTTTAAGACCACTCAAATACTTCTCAAACATCAGAACAAACATAAATAAATATTACAATACTCACAAGGACTAATGCCTCCCGAAGAGGTGAGACAGGCCTAAACTCTGACAATGTTTAAATCCAGACTGAAAACAGTTCTATTTGACTACATATATGAAAACTGAATGTATTTTATCTGCACTCTTCATATTTTTGTATTTAATCAATGACCGTTTATTTTGTTGTATTCATTTCTTTATCTATTATTTCTTCTTTCAAACCATTTGTGAATCAAATTGAAAAACATTTTGCATTTGAGAATATTTGCTCTGTCTATGCTTTTTTTAAGGCACACAAAATCTCCCTTCCCTGCCCATGAGATAGCACAAGGCTTCACCAGCTACCAAATCATGTAATACGGTAAACACCAAATAATACTTACCTCATAATAAAGCAAAGACATGACATCATGAATATAATGATATAATGAAAGAAAGCAAAGGGGTCAGGCTTCATGCACATTATTTCTGCAGCCCTCTTGTCATCAGCTTTACGTCTGACCGCCTGCAGGCCTCTCCATCTGTTAAACTCCGTTCTAAACTCAACACGTTAGCCACATATAGAAGACCACTGAGATCAGCTTGTTGGAAAGACAGGAGACCAGATGGTGTGAATGACACAACTCTGAGTGCATTTCACACATCATCAGTGTAGCACATGATGTAACATTTGATTAACAAACATGCATAAACAAAGGTGATGGAAATTACCAAGAGAGAACTGGATAACCAGAGAGATTCAGGATGGACACTTCCCCACACCAAAAGTGAACTCAGCCTTCTCCTCACCACGCTGGCATCAGAAGCCTTAACTGCCAGTTGGTACATCTCTTATCTGTAAGGACAGCATTTAAGATAAAACAAACGTTCACTAATAAAAGTAAGGACACTGTGGTTTTTCCTCTCATTTATGGTTCAGTGCAGTTTGCTGCAGGCCTAACACTGAATCTGCGGGTCTCACGATGGCATGACTAAAGAGAGAAAAGATTTCAAACCGGTTTACCGTCCCTATGGTTTTCTTGTTCAAACGTCTGCATCAGACACTTGACCAAAATACGAGTGGTTAATCACATTGAAAAACCTGTCACAGCCCATACCTGCAAAATCATTATTATCTAGTTAAGTCCTAAAAAGAATGCCATATCAGAACAATAAAAAGTTGTGTCACTGATGAAACAATACACAAAAATCTGTCTGAAGATAAACCTGGAACAAGTCTTCTCTTGGTTTGAACACCACACCGGTTCCAGCGTAAAAGCAGAACTCTGTGATGCCTTTGAGGCTCTGCTGCCATGTTGCTGGTGACATCTGAGTATGAGTCATGCAAGCTGAGAGGAAAAATATTGTCCAATCAAAATGGACCGCTAGACTAACAACATGGTGGCTTTGAAAGGCTTTACACTAGTACATTTGCGTCTTGAGCTCAAGCTTAGTTAAGCATATTAGCAACCTAACATTTGATAATTAGTACTTAGCATGACCTGTCAAAGTATAAATGGCACTGTTACTGACTTCAGGTTACTCAACATAATCAAGGAGTAGATGAGGTTTGAGTCTATTAATTTTCAGCAACATCTGGTGTTTGAGACTCAGACATACCTGAAACCTAGATATGAGCAGTTGACGTCAAAACATCTTTGTGCAATACCAATGCAGCAACCATATTCCCAACCAGAGTAAGACTTTGCTTAAAAACATGCTGAAACAAGCCAGTACTGACGCACTATTCAAATTGTGTTGTTTGCAATAGAAATGGGTTGTTCAGAAGCAGTATCGTGTGTCTTATATTTGCATATGTTCATTTCATGGAAGAATTTTAGCAAAGTAACTGATTAGTGTAAGCATTATAGAAGTTATTGTGCTGCTCCGGGTCTGATGTGTGGATTGTAGAATCTTAGGTTTCATAGCCCTCTTCGTTGTAATAATGGGTTCGTGTTGGAGGGAAAAATAACCCATGTCAAACAGTGATGTTTTCAGTGGAACGTGTGAACATTTTGATCTGGAATTCTGCTGTTCAGACATATTTTTCACAGAAAGGAAGATGCACTCTCAAAGCTGGAATTGTGAAACAGGTTATAGTGCTGATGACGCAGTAGACCACACAAGGAGTACTTTTCAGGAAATGCTATGTTCTATTTGCACCGCATGTTGAGACTTGAAAATGGCGCTGTACATCTTAACAAATACACGTGTCAGTTGATAGTTACGTACAAATAAGCATCTTATTACACGTGCAATTACAACCTGCCTTACAACTTTCTTTAGATGCTACTCATTACCACAGACCTGGAAATGTGAATGTTATTGAACTATAGGAGAAATGTATAGCCTGTAAAATGTTGAAATGATTCTCTAATCATCTGGTAAACAATCATAACAACATGTTTATAAATGTTGGGAAAGTGTAAGGGAGTGACTATGCAATCACAATGACTGTTTGAGGTGTGTGACCAGGGTGTGGCCTCCATTAAAAACAGTGCCTTTGTCTTACTCCGATTTCATGGAAGGCTTTCATGCTTAAGCATCACTTAATCATTTTCATGAACATGGAGCCTAAGTATGCTTAAAAATTTGAATGTGACTTGTAAAAACAAGCCTCATGGGAAATAGCATAAAATGCTTTCAGTATTGTTATCCACATGTTTGAAGTAAATTACTACACTACACTTTCCCACAAAGAGGAAAACCAAACGGAGGTGCTTGGCAACGACTTTAAAACATGTGTGAAGAAACATTGCCAGGGGAATAACTAATTAGATTGTTTATCGTTGTCACCATATAAGTCTCCGCAGGCTGGGCAGTTAGCCAGGAGTTTTGTTTTTTCACAGGACGGTCATACTGCTTAAGAGCACAGTGATATGTTGCAACAGCAGCCCTGCTCCACTCCTGGGATTGGAGCTTATAATCACAGAACTCCTTTGAAGTGTAAAGTGACGTACATCTTTGTCCTTACCTCTCAGCCTTATTAAAAGTAAGAGTGATGGCATCAACATGGGAAAAGGTCATAAACTACAGACAAAGTACACTGACTGACGTTTACCCCCTCTAAACCAACATGTTGTGTAAGTCAAACACTACCCTTCTTAAAAGTGTTTTGGACTTGTGATGAATGAAAAGCTGTCAGCCAGCTCCTTTTTAGGAGGGGCTCCCATGAATTCAGAGTGTTTACAATTGTTTGCTTCAAACGCCTGAAAAGGTTCGAGAAACAGTAAGAGGAAAACGCTTAGACACAGTATGCTCAGAATAGGGATAAAATGAGAAATGGCGCCATCTTCAGCTGATTCATTTTTAAAAATTCTGCGAATAAAACCTACAGTACATTTTTTCTTGGATATTCTAATTTATATAAGGTAGAAGACCACCATAAGGCTGTGCTGTCACATCAACAAAGTCACTCAGCAGAAGGCACAGGTAAAAAGCAGAGGAAAACAAGCAAGTTGAAACTTAACAATCTGTGCCATTTGGCTAGAAAGTTTGTCCAAAAATGTGAGATTTCCAAAATAAGTACTTTATTTGGGTATTTTTAGTGTTCTTTCAGTTGAAGTGAATGTCATGAATCCAAAAGTTGGACAGGTGGGAGTTTTGACCAGCACAAGTTGAGAAGTCAAACTTCAGATCAAACTAATGAAAAGCTATTACAGACACGTTTGAGCAACAGGGATTGGGCACAGATTACATCATCTCTGGTGGTAGCAGCACTGCTAAAGATACAATATCAGAAACAGTCAAATTTGTTGAGGTTTAGACCAGACCAAAAGTTGAACGAACACCACATATTCTTGCAATCACACATTTAATGTTAAAATTAGGAGCAACTACTTTTCTATTTCTGATGACAGTGGGAGTAAGCAAATGTGAGACAGCAGGTGGACAACAGCGCTGACAACTGCATGCTCCACGACACACATGTAGCAAACAGGTTTGCAGAAAAATCTATTTTAGGTTTGAACAAAGTGCACTGGAGGATTGTTGGTCCTACAAAGAGAGGGTCAATGAGAACTGCAAAATCCAATCTGACTATGTTTTTGTGTGACTTCAAATCAGGAAGCAGACAACCATCTAAATAAATTTGGGGAACCAAAACTCTGTTTAGCTTCCCCCCCAGACACAATAATAAATTACATGAAGTTACATTGAACACATACTTAAATAAAGCAGGTTTAAACTGCTAATTTTTAAGGAACAGACATATCAGAAAGAGTCAATTGGCAGCTATTACTAATGTCTAAAATATTTTTTTTGCATATTCAATGCAAATCTTGCGTTCCAGATACGCAATAAATTCAATGCAATTATCTTCAATCCAACTGGTAGAGCAGGAGGACAGTTTCTCTTTGTATATTTATACAAATACCTTTTGTAATTTTGTATGTCTCTTTAAGAGGGTTTAATCAGCCAACAGCTGTCTCCGAATATACGCTTGTAACATCAGAACCAGCTCTCTGATGCAGTATACTCTGTGCCATGCACTGCAAATAAAAGTAACATACCTTTGCCTATGTTTTTACTTCTCAGCTCTTAGCAGCTGCAAAGAAAACATGACACCTTAACAATCAATATTAATGCTGGAGAGCAGCTCCTCCAAAGCCTCCAGTTTCTGATTGGCCTCTTCGATCGCGCTGTATGTCTGCACGTTGCTGGCGATGTGGTAGCGGATTTCGTCCACCAGAGGGACAGAGTCCGTCTCGTGTCGCTCCTCAAGTGATTCGGCGTCCTCCTTGACGATGTCGGCAAACTCAGCCTGCTCCACCAGCTGTGAGAGACAGGTGGAACAGGTATGAAGGGGGCACTTCATTTTAGGTGGTCACTAAACACGTCTGACCAGAAGATCCAGAACATCACGCTATGTTCACAGTTGTAGCTCTAGTTGCAACCAAACACACCAACTATAATGTTAAGGTACCTCAGAGATCTGCCCTTTCCGACACTTTTATATCATGACAAAGTCAAAAGAAAGATAAAACGCAGGAACAGTATCCCTGAGATCAGCCGAACACATGAAACAGAGAAATATTCATGTTTTATGATATTCTCTTCTTAAGAAAGATTACTTTTTTTCCAAATATCTGCTGCTTGGCCTGTTCGAGGCTATGCATGTTAATTTTACAGGCTAAACCTGCTTTAAAACCACTAACATTTCTCCTGTCCCCATTTTTTATGACAAGTTAAGCAAAGCTCATCGCATGCAAACTCCAGCTTCATGGCCAAGAAGGCAAATCTATGCAAACAAGCATCTGTCCCCAAATGTGTCGCTCTCCCATGATAATAAAGTCTGAGATCCTTCAAAGCACAAACTGACCCAAAGGGCAAACGATGGGATATCTCAGGTCATTCACCCATGGGGAAGTTGACACTGATGAAATTACAGAGACATGGAAACTTACCCGCTCGATTATCTTGGCCATGAACTCTGTGCACTGATCCTCCAGCCGAGAGAGACGGAAAAGCTTGGCCGTCTTCCACATGTGCAGGACGTTGTCCTCGCAAATAGTCTTAGCAAGCGTCTTCCCACAGAGTCGCTTCAGCCCCGGCAGCAGATACATGTCAGCCACACACAGCACATCAAACACGCTCTCCATCGTCAACTGGACATAAAGAGGAAGCCACTTAACAACAATAATGAGCATTCAGGGGGCAGTAGAGTTGTTCAAAGAGGAGTCTGACAGCATGACAGCCAATCAGCCTCTGATGGGGACCCGTCATAATCTTTTATACCATTATCATGATGGCTAAGAATTTTCCTCCACAAAGGAGGAACGCAGTAGCTCAGGTTATCAAATAAAATGTGTTCCACTCCAATCAGATTTTTCTACCCGAACAAGTTTGTCTATCTGATAATCAAACCCAGCTCTGACAGAAACTGTGCACAAACCTCTGTGTCATCAGTGTAGATGAAGTACATGATGTGGATGAAGATTTCATGGGAGATGTTGTGTAAGGTTATCACTGGGGTGCTTGGTTGAGACTGCAGCTGCTCTCCCTCGCTAAAGTGGTCCTCCAGCAACGCTTTAAAATAATCACTACGTCCGCCGAAAAACGCCTGAGACACACACAGAAAACATATTCAATTCACATGAGTGTGTCAAAATCAGGACGGGAATCCTGAGGACTATTACAATTGCTTTACCTTATGGCATAAAAAATCATAACCATCCACTCTAAAGCAGATGTCGGGATATGTGGGGAAACGGTCGACCCTGTTAAAGGGCAGTTCACCAAATCCAACCTGGAAACAATCAAAAGATGTTAAGCACAAAATCAGCCACTGACGATTTATTTCAATATTTTTTTTGTTACACTGCCATCAGGTCCTTACTCTTAGTTCGGTGGGCAAAGCGCAGTCTGCTAACTGAGCCATGTCATCCTGCAGCTGGCAGGTCTGAGGCTCCAGGCTGAGAACTTTAACACAGATTCCCGGCTTGTTGGACACTTTATCAGGACACAAAACAGCACAAATCAAAGAAAATCAAAGACCCAAAAGAAAAAAGCACTTCGGTATTTTTAAATGATTAATATCATGTATTTTATTAAAGTGGCAATGCGCAATCCGTGCACTGACAGATGATTCTTACCAAACTCGTACACTTGTTTACATTTATTCTCCAGCTCTTCGATAAGATCTGCCATTTTGCACTGCTTTGCAAGTCTTCTACTGTCCTCCAAAAGACTTATATCAATGTCCATTCTTCCTGTAACATTAAGTAAAAACATAGATGTTAAACTTACATTTATTCTATTTCAGGTGTGTTTTCACACACACAGCTACATTATGAGTGGCATGAGTTTGCTAAAGGTCTGGAATTACCACTTTCACATCTTTTGACATAAATTCTAGGTAAATATCTTTCTATGAATCCAATATTCCTTTTACCAAGTAATATGTAATAAGTAAGATGTAATAATAACTTATACAATAAAATGATTTCTTAAGTCTGCTTGCTGGTCTCATCTGCGTATCAGTGATGGTAAAAATGAAATCTGTTTGTTTAAGCAAATTTTTTCTATCATTTCCACTTATTTTGTTAGTTTGTTAGTGTCTATTATTTTACAGATAAAAGAAGAATGATGATAAGATGAAAATGTCAGGATGTCACAAACTGACAACATATAAATTCAAAAAGTGCAGCTGCTGGTTGTTAAAGGGTTACGCATCCCAGCAGGATAAAGCAAAACCGGAACAGCTAAACCTATCAAACCATATTAAAACACTCTTTTGGACTCCTGTTTTTAAAACAGTTTGGTCAATTTTCAGATTACTAATTCAGCGTCTTAAAAACAGTATTAAAGGGATAGAGGCCTGAATCCTCACGACTCCAAAACACACTTACCTGTATAGAAATATTGCAGGATGGCTCCAAAAGCTGCAGGATTAATCTGAAATCAAACATTTTTTTGTTTGCACTGACAAACTCTATTCATTTGAACCAACATGCCAGTCAAAAAGCAAATAATTAAATATTTGTCAGTGGACTGTTTACTTACCAGTGGATGCTTGAGTGTGATGAGGTTCTTTCCTTTCCATTTAGTCTCAAACATTTCTGTAAAGTACTCTGAGCGTGCGCTGAGAATACATCGGTGGGCCAGAAAAGTTTGTCCGTGAACCAGGAACTTGACATCACTGTGCTGACCCTGCTCAAGAATCCTAGAGATGAAATACAAATACATTTCTTACTGACTGTAAATGCAGTCTACTGTTTTGCCTTTCGTCCCCTCCTTTTGCTGTTGATTAAAACTCTGAACCCGGTGGGGTTTGCTTACATGTGCAGGAAGTAGTTAAAATCATTGCGCTGCATGGCACGGATGCTGACACACTTATAATCTTTGAGCAGGCGTCTGATAGAGTCACTCAGGGAGCCATACACACAACGCTCCCCATCGAACGTGTTGGCTTCACACTTGGCACCTGAGAGTCAAGAAACTGACTGAATAAAGTATTACCCTTGCTTTTATTATGAGCACATTACATTAAATTTGAAATATGGACAAATTTCAGCCTTACCACTAGCCAACAGGTACTGGACCAGCTCTTCATGACCACAGAGGCAGGCGTAATACCTAATGGACAAAATGTTTTCACATCAAGCGTATTTCATCACGCAAGGTTGTTAAACAAGAATACTTTTCCTATACTTACAAAGGGGTGCTGTCCCACTTGTCCCTCACATTGAGATCCATGTCTCTTTGTTCAACAAGGTATCTTAAGAGAGAAAGCAATGAGCGGTTCAGTAAAAAGTGGTTAGGACATCCACATTATCCCTCACTATCATTAATTGAGTGACACATTATAAATCATGCTCAGTAGATTAGAATTGGTGCATGACAACAGGATTATCAATATGATTATATTAAAACAGAAACATAGGCCAACTGCACTTTTAAAACACAGATTAATTGCAAATATCTAAGTACCTCTGTTTCATAATATTATAGTCGTGTTTTTTTATTTCTATGAATAAACTACTCGATTATTTGATTAAATTAGTTAGCTATTAAATCACTCTGCAAAGCAACATATAGGTTTTTATTGACGATACCTGCTACAGGCTCTGAAACAGAAATGCTTTCTTGAGTGTTTCATACTCAAGAAAGCATTACCGTTTCAACCTCTAAATAAACCAGCACAGACCTGGTCTGTAACGTTATTTGGTCATTAAAAATGCTCTCCAAAAGCACAGAGAGTATAAACGTACCATCCTTTGGCCATCTGACCCTGACAGCTCAGTTGCATCTGGAAACTGAAGAGCTGACCTACATACTAGCTAAAGTTACAAACTGGGCTGCCTCAGCTAATGCTAGCCACAATGCTTCCGCTAATGTTTACATGCAAAACAGATAGCTTTGCGTCAAGCACCAAGACAGAAGGTTTAATTGAGGCTTACACTTTACTTAAAACTATATCTTAATGATATCCACGTAGTGGACGTGCATTTGGAAGGGGGCTTTTAGCCAACTAAAAAAATATCGACAGAGCCGCGGGTTACCTGACTCTACAAATGTCGCCCTTTCTGCAACTACTAAACAAGTCCTGTACATCCATGGTCTCCTCGGTGTTTTTGGTCCTCTGTAATGCATTGAGGCGGCCTGTCTATCGGACAGGTGAATGATGGTTTGGTGTTTGCTTTACAGGTTGGTCTGAAGACTCGGAGTCAGTTGGCTTGCTCGCACACCTCCTTGGACAGTTGTTGACAACCAGCGGGTACGCTCTGTTTTGGTCGAAGGTTTCGGAAGTCATGTGACTAAGGGTGCATTCACTTACATCTTGTATTGCCGTGAATAACTGCGAATAAAGGACGCCTCGCAAGTAATTTAACAAAAATAATTTGACTCTTCTCCTGGAGCAAGTTTTAAACCGAATCGTTTCGAATTTAAAATGGCATTGATGTTGGTAACAAATAACAATCATTTTCCCACAATGTGATCAGACTGTCAGAACCCGTAAGTAAGTAGAAGCTTAAATATCCCAGCTCAAGAAGGGTAATCTGAATGTAGCAAACAAACAAAAAACAACGACTGTACTCTTTATTTTTCTGCCTCTAAATTGGGCAGCTGTACAAACCCTTGACACAGGAAATTCAATGACAAAAATATGCTGAAGCAAATCATGTGTTTTTATCAAAAGACATAGAATCTTTTTTTGTGCATGTCAAATTGTTTATTTTTTATGTAAACTCATTTTTTCCACTGAAAACAAACCTCCAATCGTTCTTTTTACTGCAGTCCTGCAATTTGGTGTTTTAATAAGGTGATTTGAAGTTGAAGTTTTTGTTTCTTCAGAAATTGGTTTTCTCTCTGCAGATTTAATACTTCATCTGACAAACTCTCTGGAAACAGAAAAGCACATATCATATGCATTTAGTAACTTGATGAATAACACATTTCATACCATGTAAAGTTCTAATGATAAATCGAAGGTAACAGGTTCATTTAAAAAGACACTTTAAGAAAATCGTTTCATGTAATTTCTGTTTAACTTTTAAATGAATTCTTGATTTACAAATTCCAGTTTGCAATGTAGCCCTAACCCAAACAGAAGTCCAACAACTGGGATGTATTTCAACATATTCAGGTTGAAGAAACACACCTAGAATCCTTTCATATTTGTATTACCTTTTCAAGAGGTAACACAACACTTAAAGACAAAAAGATTGTGTACATTGCTGGCTTATCAAGAACTACATTCCATATCTGCCAGTAACTAGACAGAGTAAATTACAGTTGTTGTCCTTACCTGTGACAACTCTCTGCACTGGTTGAGACTCAACACTTCTATGTCTTTTTTTTGTTTTTCTTATCCAGAAAGGAGATGTGCTGGTGAATTCTACCTCAACAGGGTAGTGATCACTCACTCTCAGGGCCTGGAGGAAGGTGTATACACTTAATTGGGAGTGTTTTAGCACAAGTAATGGCGACATGAAAGTGGTAACGAAGACTAGCTCACCATTTCTTCTGTTAAAGAAAACTCTTCAGGGAAATTAAATGGTTTTGCTGACTTTGGAACAATGGCTTTCAGCATTTCTTCTCCAAACACCACAATCCTTCAGGATGAAACATAAAAAAAGAACAGTACAGATAATCACAATTTTATTTGACAAAATGAATGTGTCCTTCCTTCAGTTTTTTTTTTTTTTTTTCAAATCCTTGCCTGTCATAGGTGTGATCATTGCTTTTTATTGAAGTAGTGTCCATATCATCAGTGATCAGCCAATGGAAGTTCTTGTCACTCCGAATACGGATCTCCTGCATATCTTTATCCCTGACAAACACACCATCTGCTCTGAAGTCGCCCAGGATCATCACATTCTGAAGGACATCAAAAACAGCCAGTACTTTTAGAGATCTCTACAATGTCCATGCAGAGAAACCCTCTGAAAGTGTTTATTTCAATACAGGCACAGTTCTCATTGGTTTCTGTCATAGCAACTATTCTAATATATATTCCAATGTATCATGTAGCTGTGTTTAATAGATTTAATAGGTTATAAGTGTAAACTCAGAATAGTGCTCCTTACATCAGTTTTCCACTTGTCTCTGACCACCAGGAAGACCTCATACAGCTCATCAAGCTCTCTTTTCGAATCCTGTGATGCAGCGTGGACTGGTATCAGCACTAGATTCTTCAGCACTGCATCAGAAACATATTTGTTCAGTCCACATGTTTAAATATACTCCGAACTGTGACATAGATCTGATGATTCGAATTTTCCTGGATGAACATACAAATTTTTTGAGTGAGTGAGCCAAAGTTAACTTGACAAACCTACAGTCCACTCCTTTTTATTATCATATGATCAGTCAGAACACGCATCCACTTTGAGAAAAAACACATTTCCATGTCTGTACACCCATGACTCAGCTATACCTGTCATCACAGCAACTATCTTAACCCTTTAATGCTGTATGTATCATATTTGATTCATGAGTTTTCTGAAGTTTTTTTGCATCTGAGACCTTTTGCATTATTCCATAGTACAAACTTTGTTCAAAACCCTGTTGTACACAATCCGATATACCTGATAACAGTGGAAAGAAGACGACGCAACAAGATTTTTAAAAAACTTATCGCACAGTAATAAATTATTACATTTTTTAAATCATATTTTTTGTTAAAGGCCCAAATAAAGACTTCAGAAAAAAACAACAAAAACAAATTCTCTCTATTTTTTCTTGGGTCAGGCTTTAATGGGTTAAAGCAGCAAACACTAGCACCCAGTACAGAACACCCTCCCAACCCATCCCCGCCCAAATCATTCGAGTGAGTTACAAGACTTACCTGTGTTGCGAGGTTTGAAGAAGAGAATGTAAGGCTCTCTTAAAAACACGTCAGTGTCATTCACCTGATTGTCTTCATATTGATAGCTGTCAATCAGGTCGACCACATCATCCCTATCAACAGCAGCAAAAGATCTTTTTCAGCTTCTTTTTGGTGGCTACCTTCGAGCACTTTTGAAATCTGGTTGAGTGAATTACCTATAGAGAAACATAAACTGTTCTTTGTATCTGGTCCTTCCCAGGCGGGTGCTGAGCTGCAGTGCGTAGTGATGGGATGTGTTGACCCTGAGACACACAGTGCTCAGAGTGAGCGTTTGCCAACTCATTGTCAAAGACCGCAACATCATTTTCCTTTCATTCCATGCATATAGGGATAATGTAAGTGTAAAGTTACCTATTTAGTTCGGCCAGCAACTGTGTGATAGAAGCCCCGCTCACATCTACCACCTCCAGAATGACAATGATGTCGTATCGAGATACGATCTGCAAAAGTTAAAGAAATCAGCAGGATTCAGGTTGTGTCTGTTTTGCCCCCTTTAAAATTTGTCATGATAAAATGAATACAGCTACAATAGCAGCCCCAAAACAGATATCTTTTTTGTTTTGACATCTGACACTGCTCGTGGTAGCTCAGCTAAATATCACATAAACAGCAACAGCAGAACCAATGCAGTTTTTAAGAATTTAATAAATGGCGAATCTCTTCCCAACAACACAGAGCTGTTAAAATCAGCCACCACTAAGCTGTATGGAACATCAACTGAACGGTATTTGTGTTTTACCTTGATGAGGATGGACAAGACATCTGGATCTGAGACTTTGGCCAGTCCAAACCTCTGTGCGTTGAATGCTGCAATCTTCATTTCTTACAATATAGGATGTAGAATGAGATATTTTGTGTTCTGTAAAGTAAGTATGAAATACTCAGCTTTGAATGGCACCTTAAACAGAGACTCTCTCATATCTCCATTTTCTCAACTTTAGTTACCTCTTTTAATGCCCCGACGTACTGCAAATGGCACGGCTTCAGTGGCGCACACACGGAATGAACCAGCTCTTGGCTTTGTAAGAAATATGTTTTTGTTTGTTTAGTAACGAGAAATGATTGGCTCCTCAGTTATACGAGGGCTGAGAGGGACAGCTTGAAAAGGATTTTCCACCTGGTTGACAGACCGGTTTTTCTGTTTATCCCGACGAGACTAAGGGTAAGAAATGCCATGGTTACCAATGTTATTGTACAGAAAACAATAAAACGCATGTTTATTGTTAATGTTAATTATCTCATTTTAAGAAAACATCATCAATATGCTGTCCCTCATCATCATCTCTGTCCAAACATGTGGAACCGGAATTCTGTCAAAGTAATGCAAAAAAGAAAAAGCTGAAACAAAACAGAAATCTGGAGAATCTAATATTGCAGAAACGTTTTTCAATATGATCTTGTTTTTCTTAAATCTGCTTACTATTTTTATTTCATGAAATGTTCCATTGTTTAGATTTTTGTGTAATTCTATCATTACTTCCTAAATGTTCCTGTGCTTAGTGCTGTCTTCCACTTTTCACAGCTGCCTTACTAATTGGTTCACTGCACTTAATGCTGATGCTAATTGTTCATGTAATCTTCACTTTATCAAGATTCTCATGTGGTTATCGATCTTATTTAGTATATCTTGTATTTGTAGCAACCATTGTTGTACTCTTGCTTTATGACCTTTTCTGGCCAGTCTGTTTTGCTACAGAGTTTTTCTGTGTTTACTTTACCTCTAAGGAGTGTACTTCCTGCCTATGTTAAGGTGATCGGGCCTAATTCAACCTAAAGTGGATATAGTGATCATCCCGAATAGTCAACCAAGGTTTTCTGACTCATTTGTGTGGGCCTGCATTTTAAAATGGGTGGAGTTGGCATCAGGTGATCAATCTCAATCAATAATTCCATTAGATGGTGGCGCATGTGTCAGTCTCTTATCTGAAAATTTCCAGGACGGATTAGGTTTCCAGTACGAGCTGGGATAGTGACATACTTGATATCTGCCTTAAAGTCTAAAGCCGTGAAGGCCTTTAGGAGACAAATTAACACTTTCATCAACATGTTTTAACAAGATCTGTAAAATCATCAAACCGATAGCATCATATCTAATTGATTTCAAGTCCCTGGGCATGCAGTGTTTTGAAACAAACAGAAAACAAGACACACAAAACAATCTAATAGTTGCAGGGAGTACGGGACACAACCTGAGTTTGGAATGTGGCTCAAAGCTACAAAAACATGACAACATTTGGGCTGGAGTAAAGGGGAAGGAAGTCTTCATTCAGAGGGTGCCCACTTAGGCTAGGTGTGGTAATTGGTGTGTATAAACCACTAACATAAAAATGTGCTCAGTAGAAGTAATAAAATGTTCATTTTTGTTATTTGGTTAGTTCTTAGAATACACAATGTAAAACAAAATAGAGAAATCCAGTATGGAACCCAATTCAGTAAAACACACAAAAAAAGACACAGACACAGACACAGACAATGACTGGCTTTTGGTCATGCTGCTGACCAAATACGCAACTGGGTAGCAGCATACACAAAAGAATGCCTGCTTCAGTATGTCCTGGGTGAGTGTGTGGGCGAAAACTGATAAGCATATCTTTTGCATTTTTGGACACATCAGATCTCTTTTGAAAACAATGTGCATGACATAAAAAAATAAATGATATTTGATCTAGTGTTTTTTTTTTAAATAAAAGACATTATCTCCTAGTTACTTTCATAGAACAGGCTTATCTTTTCATACATCCACTTCAACAGTACAATTCTTAAGTGTTTAAAAAAAGCTAAACACCTGGAGCTATAGCACGAGATAAGATTCCAGCGTGACAACTGGAAGAATGCATATTTTCAAAGGGGGTAGGTGGGAGAACAGGTGGCATGTGTCAGACTGGTTAACCCACATTTATACAACTTCACTATCATTGCCACACCCTTTTCTGCCTTATAAAGTAGCCAAAACCCATGCAAGACTTACAGAGAAGAGCTTAACCTCTGCCTGAGCACTCCATCTTCTCCAGCCTGTGATCTCCAGTCAGCACCACGATGAGTCTAAGGATGAAGCAAAGCAACGGCCCGGCGAGTTACTTATCTTCTGGTGGCTTCAGCAGCAGGTCCATGGGATCCTGCTCAGTACCCAGAAAAATCCCCACAACTAATTATGGAGCCCCCATTACGGCTGTAACCATCAACAAGAGCCTTCTCACTCCAATGAAGATAGACATTGACCCCAATGTCCAAGTTGTTCGCACCCAGGAGAAAGAACAGATCAAGACCCTCAACAACCGTTTTGTCTCATTTATTGATAAGGTAAAAAATAACTTTACTAAAATTCTTGGTTAACAAGTGGAAATTTTACAAATGTATCATCCTAGTTAAAAATAACAAGCTACGTTCTAGGACTCTTTAAAGCTCAGTTATTCAGAGGAACTCAGACAGATGTCAGTTTCATTTGATTTTTTTGTGCTTGTGTTCAAGGTGCAACGCCTGGAACAGGAAAACAAAATGCTGGAAACCAAGTTGAAACTGCTGCAAGGCCAGGCTGTTCCTTCCTCCAACACTGAGCCCATGCTGAAGGCTTACATTGCAAGCCTACAAAGGCAGCTGGAAGATACTCACAACTACAAACACACACTTCAGGCAGAGAGCACTGGCATGTTCCAGAAAGTGGATGAGTACAAAGCAAAGTGAGACTTTTTTTTCTGACAGGAGTCTCTTCTTTTGCATCAAACAAAAGTGCCCACTGATGAGATCTGCATGAATAATACCAGATTTGTGGTTGTTTCAGGTACGAGGAAGAGATTAACAAAAGGACTGATGCAGAGAATGAGTTTGTCGTACTCAAAAAGGTAAAAAATACAAACCATTAAAAAAAATCTTGTCATTTCCGACCCGAAACATTTTTTCTCAAGTGTTGCTGCTTTGAAAGTTTATTTGTCTGTTCACTCTGTTGTAATGAAAAGTTTCATACCAAACTATTTGACCAATTCCCATGCAAAAATTCTTTTTTTTTTTCTTTGTGCCTCCAGGATTTGGATGCAGGATATATGAACAATGTGGATCTAGACAGCAGGGTGTCTTCTATCAGGGATGAAGTATGCTTCTTAAAGGAGTTGTATGATACGGTACAGAAAACCTCTTTGTTAGTTTACTCAAAATATCTTGTTTTCTGGATTGTATCTTCTTATTGTTCTGTTCCCAATGCCCCATAAAAGGAGGTGCAGGAGCTACAGCAGAGCATGAAGGACACCTGTGTGGTGGTGCAGATGGATAACTCCCGTGGCCTGGACATGGACCAGATTGTGTCTGATGTTAGAGCTCAGTATGAGGACATTGCTGCCCGCAGCCGTGAAGAGGCTGAGGCCTGGCACAAGACCAAGGTGAGGGATAGATGACCATGGGTCGAAGACAAAAGTGGTCATTCTCAGTACATGCAAAAGTGTACAAGCAAGTAATGCAAGTAAAGCTATATTCCACATGGAACATGTGTAGTTTGTATAACCAACCAATTAGGAAAAACAAGCTTTTATTCAAAAGCTGACAGCATTAAAAGGTTTAAATGTTCCTAAAAATAAGTCATCTCCAAGATCTTCCTTATCTTTTCAACCGACTAACATGATAATTACTCTTTTCTCTTCTTTGCTCTCCTGTTCGATTATAACTGACACCAGTTAAACCAGATTTCTGCTGAGGCAACCCAGTATGACGGTGAGCTGCGTAACACCAAGGCAGAAATAGCTGAGTTCAAGCGAATGATCACCCGCCTCCAGAGGGAGATTGAGGCTGCAAAGGCACAGGTGAGTTTAAGAATGATTCAAGCATGAAGGTATGAGGGCTTCGGGTTTTTTTTCTAATTTAGTAGTTATACATCAGACCTTGCATACTAGAGCCTGAAGCCCAGGTAGAAATTATTAACCAACAGCCAAAAATATTTCAGTAGAGGAAAAACGTAAAAAATCTTGAAATTGCATTGAACTGCAGACTTACAAGTTATTTCCATACAGGATAATTACCTAATTATCACATACCAGTCCTGTTGTCTAGCTCTCTGGAGTTCCATTTAAAAGGTGAGGCTGACAAGTTTAGATTTCCACGTGTTTTCACTTCTGTGCAGCTTGACAGCATAAGGGGCTCCATTGCTGAGGCAGAAACACAAGGGGAAAGAGCTGTGTTGGATGCCAAGTCCCGCATCAAGCAGTTGGAGCAGGCTCTGCAGAAGGCCAAGCAGGACATGGCTTGGCAGCTCAAAGAGTACCAGGAGCTCATGAATGTCAAGCTGGCTCTTGACATAGAGATATCCACATACAGGAAGCTCCTAGAGGGAGAGGAAGAAAGGTGAGCTGTATGGGAAGACCTCTGGTTAGGGTAGTTTTTCTTTTGTTTGTTTTGTTAATATAAAATTCACAGCCATTGATCGTGTATTTTTTTCCATTTCATATAAAAGATCATTAATGTGCTAAAAAAAAAAATTATCAGTGTCCGTAGTGTTTTAGGTATTGTACCTATTTAAATTGAAAGCCTTTAACATTGGGTTAAATGGGTCTAGAACGGATATATCTATCCATCTGCCCAGTGCCCAGAATGTGCTCTTTACTGCCCCCTTGTGATGGAGGTGAATGATGGACATTTCGCTGTTTACAAACTATGAGGCACTTATTTTTGGTATAACCATTTTTTTCTGTCTCTAATTATGTTTATGTAAATCATTTCATGACTTTTGTTCTACTGAGTTTGAAAAATCCTGATTCTATACAAATGTCATAAATTTGTGTAAAGCTTCACTCCATCGCTGTCCTCTCTGTTGGGACTTCAGCTACATCCACAAAGCACCTTCTCAAACTTTACATAGCTAGCTCTTATTGTACTCTGGGGATTTTCTGCTTTCTCATTGACAGACTTGGGCAGCAGTCTATTGTCAGCATCCAAACAGTGCCTAACCAAAGTGAGTATTTTACAAGAAAAAATGACTCCATTATGAGAACCACTGGGTAATTAGTGTTCAGTCTTGTCGTTAATTCACTGCGCAGTCTCTTCTTTTTAACAGCCACCGTTGTTGACAGCCGTCAGCGGAGAAGGTCTGGCCCTGTTCTCATCAAGACAGTGGAGACCCATAACAGGTCATACAGTTGAAAGAAGAAAACTTGATGCAGTGTCCACCTTTGCTGGTCAACACCACTGTTATACTCCACTTTCATCTTTACTCTTTGGAGCATGCTAATATTAGAGCCAGCTGCACAAATGAGCCAAATGTATTGTATGTGTTTGTTTGTTTTTGTTTCCCTTCCACTTGTGTAACAGAAATCATACTTCCCTGGAAATAAATCTTTAATCAACATTGTTACCATTTGTCTTATTTCAAGGTTTTAAAAGCTGGGTGTTTATGTGGGTGGCATTTTTGCTACGGTGGGGGAGATTTGTCCTCTTAAATGCGACTGATTTCAGTCAGTCTGTTTGTTTCATTGCTTCTGTGCCATCATCTGATTTGGGAGCCATTCTGTAGCAAGGGTTTCATCATAAAGTTTCACCAAAAACATTCTTTCACAGATCTCAGATATCAACATTTGAAAACTAGGGAGAGGGATTAAACATGTTTTTTTGTGAGATTTATCAAATGAAAGACTTAGGTTGATGGACATTTAAGAATTCAGCATGAAGGCAGGCGATTAGAAAAAAATAGATTCAAAGATTTCCCTATACCAAACCCAGTTTTGTGACACTGTGGAAACAGAATAATGTAATCTGCTTAATATAAAATGACTTAAGGTAGATTGGATGGCAGATAATTTACAAACTACCAAAAAAGCCACACAAAAAAAACTATATGGACAATTCCACTTGAACTCCCTGGCACAGCTGCATTGATGTAGACATGGCCGATGTTTCTCCACTTTTCTAACCTAAATTTCTTTAATCAAGAATTGGCTCAATATAAACAGCATTTGAATAGTGTGTGTAGGTTTCTTCCAGCTGTTGCGGTCAGTGGTTTTGTTTTGCCTTGTTATTGTCTTGATCGTGCTGTATTACTTCCTCTTTTACTCTGAAACCGTGTCTTCCTTTGTGTATTTGGTTTGTGTTGACTGACAGTGTTTATGTAACATCGAGCTTTACGCCGGATCAGGCTGTGCACGCTCCCGCGGCCGTTTCATCCATTTCTGGCAGGTGAACGCGTTTTGGCACAACACCTCTTCGTTGTTCCTGCGGATCAGTGATTGCGGAATATACCACCCTGTGACGTCTTTGGTTTGTTCGTCTTTCAATTAAACGAACTAGTTTTGAGTCTGATTCACAGATGCTGGATGTCTAGAATGAAATGCCGAATACATCAGTTCTGAAAGGCCACAAACCCCTCACTGGGTCAGTTTCGTGGTGTTATTGTGCAGTGGTCCGATCCACTTCCGCACTCCGGGTGGTACAGACCACCATTCTACCAGCAGTTCCGGGCTGGACTAACTCGGAAAAAACTACGCCCTTACTAAAATTAGCCCAGAGTGAAAACGATAAATTACTAGATTAATGTTTGGGTCATAAAACCTTTAAACGTGTTTGGTTTTTTTTTTACTCCACCCACTGTTGAGGAAAAAAGTGGCTAACTGTAATATGGCCGTTCTGAAGGAAAAGTTAGTCACCAAACGTATTCACAGTTACTAAGTTAACTGTGGATGGCAAGCCAACACAAAAACGGAAAAAGACCCACAAAGGAACCGATAACTCATACCCCACAAGTTTTGTTTCTTAGAAAAGTGTAATCACATTAAGAAAAAAACATTTTTCAGCCTGTTTTTAACAGGCAACTGTTGGCCGTCTGAGTTTAATGGGTTACGGAGGGAATGCTTTTGAATGCACATTAAGAGAAACGGGTATTTAAACTGAATTAGTCTACATCTGTTTTTAGTAAATGCAAAGGAACCTTCGTTGTCTCTTCTTTCTTTTAAATCTATGGGAGGGATTAAGTGTAGATGCAGCACACCCTGTAACGACAAAAGTTCATGGTTTCAAAATCCAAACAGACACTTCCTGTTTTAAGCTCACCACACTTTAATTGTTGCCTTGTGTTGGAGTGCTGCTGCTGCATTCCCAGTGTAGGTGCAGCCGTGCATTTCCGTAGATAATCTACCTTCCCTAAGGAGATCCTCCTTTACGACAGTTCTACTCAACTCCTAGCATCCAAAGTAAGTTTAGCTTTAAGTTAAGTTTGTATTGTTCTCATAGTGTGGAGCAGTTTCTTGACATTTGCAGGCATGCTTTTAAATGTTTCCTGCTTTGTAAAATTGGAGTTGCCTCATCCTAACCATGTTTGAAATCTTATTTATCTTCCTCAGTTATTGTCACCATGGACAAAGAAGCGGTGCTGACTCATATCCTGAAGTCTAGGAGTGCACCCACATTCTTAGGCGGAGAGCTGCCTTCCAGTGTAATTAGCAGTGATAAGTACATACCTGCACTAACCGCTGAGGCTCAGAATGACAACTTCCCCTCCCTCGATCATGCCATCCACAGTGCTCTGTCTGGTCAGAGGAGAAGGGTTGCACTCATTGGTCCCGAAGGATCCGGTAAAAGCACCGCTCTGCAGAAGCTCACCATTGACTGGGCTAAAGGAGAGCGCCTGCAAAACTTCTCACATGTCTTCCACTTCAGCTTCAGTGAGATAAATTCTCTCGAACGTGCTCTCTCTTTGGAGACTCTAATCCAGCACAATCGTCATCAAGTCTCTCCTGAGGCCATTCCTCTGGTCATAGAGAAGCCTGAGGATGTGTTGTTTGTATTTGATGGTCTGGATCGGTACCAGCACAGCCTGGACCCCTCCACCCACAGCCTCGTCTCTGACTGCAGTCAGACGGCCTCAGCGTCCTGCTTAGTGGCCAGTCTGCTCCATGGATCCCTGCTGGGGGAAGCTGCCTTAGTGGTGGCCACCAGGCCAACAGGAAACCTGGAGTTTTTCTGTGGCACAAAAGTAAACGTGTTGGGGTTTCTGAAGCCCCAGCGAGAGGCCTACTTTAACAACTTCTTCACTGAGCCCACAGCTGCCAAGACAGCTCTACTTCATATGGAAAGGACTCTAGGCTTCTACGATTTCTGCACTTCTCCGAGATTTTGTTGGACAGTTTGTTCGATTTACAAATACCTTCTGGATTCTGGTGCAAAACTTCCTGAGGCCGTATCTCAGCTGCATGTAGATCTTCTGGTCTACTTGATTCAGACGCTCTCGCTGAGTGGAGCTCAGAGCAGAGCACTGGTGTTGGTCCTCGGCAGGATGGCCTCTCACTGCTTAATTAGCCAACACTCAGTTTGCACCAAAGAGCACGTTGACTTCTACACTTCACAACAACCTATAATGTCAGTGAATGTTCTTTTGCGAGTGTTTGGTGAGCTGGAGCCTGGCACAGGTAACTTCTCCTTTCACTCCCAGCTGATGCTAGAGTTCCTTTTGGCTGTGGCTTTCTTTTTGGACCGGTCAACACACGACGGTGCGGAGAGGATGCTAAAAAAGCATGAAGGCCAGGCAAAGTTCCTGGATCTATTCCTGTCTGGGCTCTCAGAGCCCGTCCAGCGTAGACCATTGGAGGCCCTGCTGGGGGCATTTGAACCTGATCAGATCAAGGACTACAAATGTTGGTTCAAAAGCAGCTCAAAGGAAACGCTGAAAGCCTTCCGTAGAGACAAGCTCTACAGGTGCTTCCATCTGCTGCACCAAGCCCAAAATGAGAGTTTGGTAAAAGAGCTTTTGCCTCTCTTAGCAAGACTCATGAATTATCATAGTGACCTGAGCCTCCAGGATTGTGTGGCTTTGAATTATGTTGTCACGTGCCTCGGTGAGTTGGAGAGGTTTGAGCTGAACCACACAAACTTCACAGAAGAGAAGGCTGAAGTCCTGGCCCCGACTTTGAGCCTGGCACAACAGATAACGTAAGCCAGAATTGGAGAAATTAATGGTTAAAATGAATACCATCACTTGTTATGGGTTTATGATCGTGTTCACAGCTGGTTTGTTGCCTTTCCTAGTTTTAAACAGACCCCCTTTAGTGCAGGAGCACTCCCTCGTCTGGCTTCTGCTCTCAGCAGGGGACTCGTCAGGGAGCTCCATCTCTCCAACTCCAACCTCTGTGAGGAACATTTGAAAGTTCTCTGCTCTGGGCTCAAAGACAGCAAGCTGCAGAAATTAAAGTAAGTATTCTTATTATTCAAATGTTGTATATCTTTGCATTTTATTTGTTTTGTTTTTTAGCGTGTTCTTGTTTTTTTTCTTTTTGCTTTAAGCCTGAGAGCATGCGAGCTGACGGGGGCGTGCTGTGAAGATCTGGTCACTGTGCTGACCTCAGAAACGTCCCAGCTGCACGAGCTAGAAGTCGGCTTTGATGACATTGGAGATATTGGGTTTGCAAAGCTGTGCGAGGCCATGCACCATCCTCATTGCAGACTACAGGACCTCTTGTATGTACTTAGAGCATTTACATTCATGCGTTTTGTCTCATCTGCTCATTTCACTGTCACTGAATTTCAAATCTGTGTGTGGCCGGAATTTTCTGACTGAAAGCATGAAAAGGTGCAACTTGACTGCAGCATCCATGGGGGCTTTCGCAGAAGCATTGTGCTCTGGTCAATCACATCTGAGAAAACTGGACCTGGAATCTAATAATATTGGTGACAGTGGAATGGAGGCGTTGTGCAAAGCCTTACAACACCCACTTTGCAAAATGCAGAGTCTAAGGTAATTCTCTTTCAAAAGAATCTCTTCTGCAATCAGGGCTTTTCCTCTCGTGTACAGCATGATATGATCACATTAAAGAACTAGTCATCTTTTATCTCAGGTTGTTTGATTGTGACCTGACAGCTGTGTGCTGTCCCCATTTGAGAGACGCCTTGATGTCAGATTACTGCTCTCTGTTTGAGCTGGATCTGTCGCTGAACGAGCTGGGCCAGGAGGGGGGACTACAGGTCTGCCAAGGCCTGACTCGACCTGATTGTGCCTTAGAGAAGCTCAAGTAGGACAACAACAACACAACAGCCATTTGATTTTTCAGTGACAAAATGCCACCTGTCTGAAATATTAAATATTGACTCCACTGATCCGCTGCGCTTTCAGCTTGACGCGATGTGAGCTAACTCTGGCAGTCTTCAAGGAACTGGGCTCACTGCTGAGAAATGGGACTTGCCAGCTCAAATCCCTGTCTGTGGGTCTTAATAAAGTAGGAGACCAGGGGGTTAAATATCTTTGGGAGGCTGTGGCACACCCAAGCTGCATTTTAGAGGAACTAGAGTGAGTATACACACAGACAAAACAACTGACATGCCAAAATCACCACATTACAGAGCACAAGTTAAAGCTGTGGTCGTACTCTGCGTTGTAGTGTTGAAATGACAAAGCTGACGGATGCCAGTGTGAAAGACGTCTGCGCGGCTATAAGAGCCAGCAAGACTCTGACAAGGCTGGAGATGAGAAACAACTCACTGACTGATGCCTCCGTCCCAGCTATCTGCCAGGTCATGAAGGACAGCCCCAATATGCAGGAGTTGGTGTAAGATTTACTCACTTATTTATGAGCTGCATTTGGCCACTGGATTGAACCTTTTGCAATACAAGAAAGACGCTTCGAGAGAAATTTAACTGCTTATTTTTCTCTGTATCTTTCAGTCTGAGATACAATGACTTCAGTGAGGAAGTTTTCGACATGCTGGAGGAGTCGAAGATAACGTACTAAAGAGAGAGCCGAAGTCCATCCATCGTACAGACCGTAAGACTGGACATCACTGCAAACACAAAGATAGACTCCATCAACTTAACACTGAAACAAGTTGTGGACCTTTGAAATAAAACTGATGTGATGCTCGGCTGGGAAATTTGGATCAGTATCCACGAGCCACATATTACTAAACTTCCCACGGTCACCTGTCTGTTAACTGAAGGAATGTACACAAAATTAGGCAGTTGATTTAAAAACTTCCTGAACATGAGAATTTGTTACTTTTTGGGGGGTCAATTAAACATTCCCCAGACCAATCATTTTAATAAATACTACCCAAATATTGCAAATAAAAATACCATAATACCATACTGTGGTAAATCTTCAAAAAATGAAATTTGCCATTCATTACACCATAAAGGCACTCATCAGTTTCGTCTACTGAGAATCCCATGCTGGTGAAAGAAAGCACTGCATTTAGGTGGAATGCATTTAATACAGCAGTGAAAGTTATTACCCATTTCCATTTAGAAAATATATTTACAAGTACCAGCAGTAGCTTTTCTAACAGCTTTACAATTGTAATTCTCACACACATTTTTTGTATCCTTCCCCAAACAACCAGCAGGTGTAAACTTCACATTGTAAACTTTTGGTAAGGCAGCTGCACAACACACATGGAGTCCTCCTGTACCACAGCCATCTCTTCATTTAAATATTTCATGACAGGAAAAGGGTCAATGGTCGTGGGTATTGCCATTAAGTGCACCAGTGTGACGGCGGTCATTCAGGTTTGGCGTTTGATTGGAGTTTTGACTATTACTGGAAGAAATGTCCTCGTCCGAGCTGCTGTCTACGTCACTGCGGTCATCTTTTGCCACCTACAAAACACAGATTTAGTATAGATTTAGTACTGTCAGCAACGGCTTCTCTGTGCAGCTGTAACTGTGGCAGAAACTGCAGAATAAAGGCTTATCATTCCTGCATTTCTTTTCAGTCATAAGAAGTCAGGAAAAAAAAAGAAGTCAAATTTCAGCCTGACTGTGATGAAACTGTAATGAGATGCGAGAATAACGAATTTGCATTGCGGCAAGCCCCTCTACCACAAAGATCCTGAGTAACCTGGTAAACTAGTTACAGAAACCTGTCTGAACAGAGAGGTACAAAAGCATTGCTAAAGTAATGTCCCACACCAGAATAACCAGACTAACCTTTCCCTTGAAAATGGCTTTGATAGCGATGCGACTGATGAGGTAGAACCAAATTATGTGAAGAACTTGCAGGACCAGCAGAAACCCGTTGAGCAGCCACCACGCTCGATAAGGACCTACAATCTCCCAGCTCTCAAACATAACACTGTAAATAATCCTACAACGAATAAACAAAGCAGAATGTCAGTTAAGTGTATCCTTATATTTGAATATGTGACCACTTGTTGACCATATGTAACTAAACTCTCACCAGAAAGGAAAGATGACAAGTCGAGTGAGGAAAAACTTTATGCTGAAGACCACAAACAGGCCGTCGCATAGCCTTTGGTATTTGGCGTAGTTGGCCAACTTGGCTGCCTTGGAATAAATAACACAATGTTTACTACAATAAAATGTCAAACCAAAATCTCCATGTTGCCATTTGAAGGAATAGCATCTTCAATTTAAAGTAAATAAAAGTATTTAAACATCACTTAACGTTTCCAGTTTTATTCTGAATCACAATTATTTGTGAAAAAAGGTACTGGAAGTAACAGTTTGAAATTCAAAAACACACATTTGTTTACCTCAAGAAAGATGTCTGAGGCATCATGCACACACATGACCAACGTGCCTGCTCTTAGCATGTTGTTGCCATAGGAGAAAGTGATGAGGCATATAGTGGCCAGATGGTGGACAAGCATGATCAAGAAATCCTGTCATCAGAGAAATGGAAGGAGATGACAGAAAAAAAAGGTAAAGGGATAAATTATGGAAGAGTTCATTCCGACTTAAAGACATGCACACATATTTGCCTAATCAACAGTTTGTAAATGAACACACACTCATAAAACGCTCTGGACAGACAAATCAAACAAGGCTTTCTTTTCATTCTGGACACATGGTAGCTAAACATAATATCGAACGCTCAAGTTGAACCGGAATATGTAGCAAATCTACCAAGAAAACAGGTTTAGATAAAGTTTTGACAAAGGTGAGCCAGAGCTGAGATATTTGTCTCATTAAAATGTTTAGGGGGGAAACTACAAAGAGTGCAGTGTCAGTTAGATCGTCGACTCACCTTACGTTTAATGTCTGTGAACTGGGAAAACATCAGAGACCAATAGAAAGCCAGCTCTGCCATGTAGTAATTGTACTGTCCAGGACTCAGAGGCTTTGTGGGCGAGATGAAGCAGACATGTCTTTGTAAATCTAGTCCTACTGACCATTCAACAATACAGTTCTGAAGTTATATCAGCAGTCACACACAATATGCTGTTATATGATGCTCATACAAAAAAGGGCTATTCACCTGAACAGGGTAGTTGTACCAACACTGTCTGGTATCCCACATCCAAGGTGACTATCAAATACAGATACAGATCAGAGAGTGAATCAAAACCCATATTTGTTCATTTCAGATTTCCACCTCTCTTTGGGAGCTAACACATAATGCAACTCTACAAAATACTATTGTACAAAAACATGTAGTACAGTATTTCAACTTACCACCCACAAATGGGAAATGGCATAGATAAAAATCACCAGGTAAAAGCTGAATCGCCACCTGAGAAATGTGTAGAATTAGAATTAGAAAACATTGTCTGAGACTGCGCATACAAACATCACACAGAGACCACTGAAGCATTTCCAGAGTGGTGTGAACTAAACTCATCAACACTGACTTACAAGAACTGAGTATGTATCTTGATGGGATGAAAATTGATCACCACAGTCATTACAGTTCTTACCACTGTAACATCGACACAAAATGTCCTGGAAATAGCCAAGACCCCTTAATTTAAAACCATCATGCCAGCATCAGAAAGGCACTTAACAATTCCAGCTCTGCCATTTGGTTCCACTCCTCTATTCTGAATTGTTAAGAGTTGTCTTTTTATTTTCAATCAAAATGGAGGAGTGGTCAATGCTTGATTCAGACATAAGGATGATGACATCTTGATTTTTTTGAAGAAATGGAACATCTTATCCTTATGAATGAGGAGCTAGTCACTTGAAATGATAAACAGCTAAAGGAACGGAATGGAATATGGCCCAAAATCCTCAAGTCAGTGGTATTCATCCTCTGGGAAATCGTGATGTCTGTACAAATGTTTAGTGTGAAATATTTATGTAAACTAACCTTTTTTTTTTTCATGAACTCAAAAATTGTTTACAGAGTAAGTTTAGCTGACGGCTAGAGCTCTTGAAGGCATCCAGACCATCTAGAGACTCCTACAGCACCCTTCTACATTGAATTGCTGCTGATCACGCACTTATTTATGTTGTGTACATGACACAAAAGACCTACATGCTCTCACAGAACTTTTTCTGGGTGCTGGGTCTGTCCTGGCTCCGACGGATACGAAACCATCTTTGTATTTTTCGTTCATCCCAGTCCAGCCGTTTGGAGAGTTCTTCCACTTGCCTTGTGTCTGGACGCTAAAGAGGACAATATAAGACAGCTGTAAAGTGACTGCTTGTAAAACCACAACAGCAACAGGTATTTAGGTCTCAGAGCAAACAACGTTTACTGAATATATCATTAGGGTTATTGTGGTGCACACCGAAGCGATAATACCATGCTGCCGTGTGTACCGGACGAGGTAAGAAGGACAGAACAAGCACAGACTTATGTACCGTTTTGGACTGATACAGCTTTTCCAGGACAGCATTGGGCTGAGCTTGCCGAGGCACTCCCGCCTGAATCCGAAGTATGTGGGCACAGGGCTTGGCCACTAGCCTGTGTACACACAGACAGAGGGACAAAAAAAGAGGGTGGGGACAAAAACATGTAGTGGTGTTAAGACAGGCATTTGGTTAGAGGCAGTAAAAGTTTAAGGCTTCAATAGCTAACACAAGCTGCTTAGCTTTCACAGTTTTCTCACAATGTTTGACAGAATACACAAGTATGTTTGTCTTGATGAGAGGGAAAGAGCACAACAGAGCCCTTAAGGGAGACAGAGGCCTGCGTTAAAAGTCCTGGAGAATGTAACACCTAGCCTAAACAGAGCATGATGGCCTGTCATGTGAGAGGGGGAGTCTTTGTACGGGAGGGTGAACTCTGCCCATCACACTGATGTGTGTCACAAGATTATCTGGTTGAGCTGACCAGTGCTTACGCTTTAACTCAGGGCCTTTTGGGACAATGGCAAAATAACAACACCCTGTTTATCTGGAAAAGTTTCAGCTTATCACGACAAGAATGAATGACAAGGAAAAATAAATCAACTGACGGTTTTTGCTTTCGACTTCAGTCATCACATCCCAAAAAAACAAGAAACGCTAGGCTTGTGTTCACAACCCCTAATTTGCTGTACAAAGAGGAATGCTTGCAGGTGAAAAACGATGTACTGGTTTTTTTTTTAGCTCCCGGCCTTAACCTGTTTTTCCGTGTTGACACGTAAAGGGATGCTACCACCGTGTTTCCCTAGCTGCCTTTGAAGAACAAAGAACACATCTCAAATCTCAAGTCAGTGAAGTCATTTTTAAGTGTCATCTCACAGGAATGCTGACACACTTGAACTAAAAGTTACAGTTGATTGAATAGATAGATAGATAGATAGATAGATAGATAGATAGATAGATAGATAGATAGATAGGATATTTTTGAACTCATTCTTTTCTAAACAAAGGATTCTTAATCAAAATTGCTGAAAGTATCAACAGGCAAAGGCTCAGGTCTCATTTGCGGTAGCTTGTGGAGTTACTTTAGGCAGCGGGTGGTGTGGCCACCACAGCTGCCACATAAGCAAACTGAAATGAAAAAGAAACCCACTATGCAAAAAATGAAGGTTCAAAAAAGAAAGAAAAGAAAAAAGTGTGCGTGGGGAGAGGGGGGGGGGAGCCCCGTTGGTAGCATTTACCTTTCAAAAAGCTGTCTTATCAGTAAAACTCCCACAGCCAGAGGCAGAGCGTAGAGTATGTGCCCCGGTCTGGGGTAATCAACTCCAGGTGGGGGATCTTCCAGACTCGCCCAGGACACATTTTCAGGAAGCCAGAATCTCTCACTCCAAATCCACGCTGAGATAGAGGAAGTCATGGGTAAGCATGAACATTCAGCAATGGCAAGGAAGCCCAACCTAGAGCGTTAGTTGGAAGTGAAGTCCTGCCCTCTCGCTACAGTCCTCCCCTGAGCAGGCATCACTTCTGCTAAACGCTCACGAGCGAAGTCAGGACATGAGCCGCACGCGCAGCTGTGGCCAACAGGAAACACCCACCGCCGTTTCAACACGGAGCTTTCCAACGTGGAAACGGCCCACTCTCCCCACCTCTGACAACGGACTTTTGTTTGTTGTAAATACTTCTCTGTGGTCGTGGAGTCAGAGAATTCTAAAGTTGGCGGAAAACAAATCCCCCAAACTGCCGCCACTCCGCGTGGAGCGCCAGTTCCTGTAGCTCACGCAGTTTGTAGTCAGCTGCTCTTTAACCTCAGCGAGCTGATTCTTAATACTAACAATAAGAAGAACAACAGCAATACAGGAAAAACATTAGATAAGTCATGTTTACGTCAATATTTAGCCTACCTGTTAAGCAGGACTCTTTTGGTATTTGTAGCTAAAACTATGTTTTAAAGTGAGTTGTGTAATGTAAAGTATAAGCAACAAGAATAAGTAAACTGCATTTCAATCAACCTTTACGTCCAAAACACATCAAACTTTGTTTGAATAAACACACATACACCTATGATTGTCAAGAAATAATTTGACTTTACTTTTAATCTACGTGTGACTATTACAATTTTAATAGCCCAAAAATCTTAATTTTATTACTAAAATTTGGCTGTAATTTGCCCTTATTTTGTTTAAGTCTGCATTTCTGTCTATCAGATGACAGCAATAGCATCATCTAACACTGTAAAGTTTTCTTGTACAATGTTCCAGTCTTGCAGCTATGAGAAGATAAACACTGTCCCAGTAGTGTTATCAGCAGTCAGCATGCATGTTTGGACCATTGTAGTGTACTTCCCTGAACCCCTGTGTGTTCTATGGGTCCTTATAGACCCCAAATCATATTCCACCTAATATATCATTAACTTGAACAGAATTGCTTGTTTTTTCAGGATTTCTGCCCTTCTCCGTGCTTTCAAAATAAAATAAATGTCTACTACTTGCATTTTATTATTTTAACATTTATACCACCAGTTGGTCTTCCAGGATTAGAACGAATCTCAGAATAACCCAAAGCATTAAACTCAAAGGTCAACAAATCCACTGTGACTGTCTGATCCCCCATGGGACATAACAAAAGGGAAGATGGATGCTTCACATACATGACACACAATCTCACAATACCCTTCCCCACTCTGTGTCATCCTGCAGATTTTTTACATCAGTACCAACCGGCAAGAGAGCAGCTCAGCACCCTGAACAAAACCTCTCTGTGTAAGCATGCAGCTGCAGCTTCCGAGATGCCCTACACGGATACATGACCCAGTGTGGAGGGGCTGACGAGAGCCACACAATTAGAGGGGGGGTCCTATGTTTGAGCAGAATATTTTCTATCACCTCTGGAGCACCATTAGGGTAATTTCTCATGTTTTTTTTATGTTTATTTGAAGTAGTTGCTTGTCATTGCTGGGCTCAGTCCTGCAATAGCAGGGAGGTTTGGAACACAGTGCGTGTCATCCCATTAGTGCCCCCCTTTCACTGCTTGGACTGTTCCATTTCACATCTGAAAAAATCTGGTAGTTGAGGAAGAGTTGTTCATGTCAGAGACTGCTTTAGCCTCAGCACACACAACACTGTAGCTCCTGGATCTCAAAAGGTAATCTTCCTATTTGTTTTCTTCCCCTTTCTTTTGGTAGATTGTCATTGACTGAGTCCTCAAAGGAAATCTCTTGGTAGCTCAATATAGCTTCCTCTCTCAGTTGTGTTTATGTGCTCAGGGATGAGCATGCACTTTTGTGTTTACCTTTAAGAACTCTCAAATCTCCAACAATAACAGTGATGCCAGCTTTGTTTATGTTTTTATATTTTAGTTTGATTTGAATGTGTACATTTGTACATCTACAGTTTTGTAATGTTACCTTTTTTTTTAACAGAAAGGCAAATGGATCAAAAAGACCTGAGTGATCCTCTGAACAATGTCTCATTGATTAAAGGTAACCCTGCTTTGCTATTTATTTATTTTATTCTCTAAGTATGGACAGGACATATTTAGATAAATGACTTGGCTCTGTGATGGTGCTAGTGATGGTGCTAAAGTAGAGAAAATCACTAGTCACACTTGAAATCAGTGTTTGGACAAACAGCAAACAGGGACAGTTAGTTGGCTTTAGAGCTTGAAATACAGGCCATGGCCTTGTTTTAGAGGCTGAGCTCTCTTTTCCCAGCAGTTTATTATATGACGGAGTCTCTCTTCACTGAGGGCAATAATGTGTGTTAGCTCTAGCATTTCAGTGACTAATTAAAGCAGAATGCAGGGGATAACGCAGTGAGATAATCTTAAAATCAGCTGGGGTATGCACATTGGTGAGTGAATCAATTTTTCATGATGAATGAATTCGTCATGCCAGGGACCACATGGCAAACAGTGTCCTCACTGTCATTTTAGAAAAAGAATGTCATTCATAAACAGCCACATACAGCTGATTTTATATTTGAAATGTCACATTACTGCATAGAGTCTGATCCTTTTCAAGGAAAAAAAACAGTCAACATTTGTTTGAGTGGCGGTAAGGAAGAGGCAGTGGATAAAGATGCACCATGATGGCTCTAGCCCTGAGCACCATGAGCTAAAAAAAGACTTTCTCCTACATTTTTTCTGTCGTCACTTGAGGCAGTGTGACGCACAATATTCTCCACTAGTCTGAGAAGTATTTTTACAAATGGACTAATCCCATCCCTACTTTGTCAGGTGTCAGTCTATTGCACCGAATGGCATAATGGGTCTTGTAACTAATACTTCTAAAGATAGAGTGTTGCACTCTCCTCTGAAATATCTTTTAAACCAGCTGCTGACTTCAGAGAGCATTCATCTTTCAAACCAAGTGGACTCGAACAACGTGTTACAGTACAGGGAGCCCACTCACATTCTAGCTCCCTCTCATACATATGCATACATGACGGCGCACACAACCACATGCTGTGCAGAGCCCTGCCCTCTCATCCTTTGTCTGGCACACAGAAGGATGGTCATTTGCTTGAGTCAGAGGGTGTTGCCAGCTCCGAGCCTTTGTCTCATGCTCGTTAATTCCTCTGACATCTCTCACTGCCGTACCCGTTGAAACCAGAGTATGTGTGTGATTAGTCAACCATGTGCGCCAGACTCGGTGGCATCAAAGTTTTAATAACAACTGGCGCATTTCATGGCAGTCTGAGTCCGGTGATGTGTCCATTTATGGTGTGCATGATTGACCTGTCCTGGATGTTGGTTTTGGCCTCCACCAAATGCTTGGTCTGAGATGAGATCATTTCTTCTCCAAGCTATGTTAGATTATGGGATCAAGATATTCACTGGGTATTTGCAAAGCATTTGCAAATAGTATTTTAGGAGCTTGTTTTTACCTCCAGAGAGCACAACAGTCCCTTGACAACGCTGGCAAGCCTGTTCCCTTTGTGTATTGTTTTCAGCGACGTACTATTAATGAGCGATGTAGAAGTGCCAGAGACTCATATGTGGCCGGAATGATGGACACTTCTGATAACAAATGTAGATAAGTGCAGTTGTCTCTATTTCTGGGTTAGCAATTAGTTTATGTAATAGGCCATTTCAATATCTTGGGAAATCATCTTGCAGCCCTGGTTCAAACTGAATGAACATGGTGCAATCTTATTGGCATCTGTGTATTTTTAGGGTAACTGACTCACTTTCCATCATTAGCCTGATCTGTCATACTTAACATTCCAGCATCTCTGCAGCGGGCCGACTGGCCTGATAAGGTGCTCTGCGCTCACTGTTGCCTTTTTATGCCACGAGGGTGGATCTCATAACCGGTGTTTTCATTTTTGTTCTTTCTGCTTTCATCAGATGACCTGACAAGATCAAACATGGGGTCTGCTGGTGACTCTGAAAAAAATATTCAGCGCTTGAATGATGATCTTCGAGAGGCCCAGGATCTAGCTAATGTGGAGAAACATAAGTGCATGGAGCTCCAAGGTAACATGTAATATCTTGGTGTTGGATACATTTTAGGATGTATACACATCTACACACCGTGAACTTAAGATGGCATGAAAGATATGTCTGTGTATATTTTCAAGGTCTCCTGGAGAAAGAGCGTAAAGAAAATAAGCAACAAGCTGATGAATCTTCTAAACAAATAAAACATCTTCAAGGTACATTTTTTATGTTTGTTGATTTGTGATGTATCTTTTGTCTTGTTTTGTTTTTTCTGAAGTAGCAGTTCTGTAAATTTCATCACTGCTTATCTGAGCACCTTGGTTTTGACAGGTCAGCTGCAACAGCTCCAACAAGAGATGGGCGTCCTCATAAAGCAGAAGGAAGTCTCCTCCAGTTCGCACGACGAGCTTCAAAGTGCACGAGACGAGATCAAGTCGCTGAAACGGGCCCTGGAGACAGCCACTGCTGAGCGTGAGCGGGATGTCGCTGCTACCCAGTCTAACCTGGCAACTGTCTCAAAAGATCTGGACAAGTGGCGTCAGACTGCCAACAAGTATGAGCATGAGATTGACAACCTGCAGCGTGACTTGCAGCAGCAGAGCAAGCAGTGGCAGAAAACAGCAGAAATACAAGGTATGACAAGGAAGAAATGCGTACTGTGCAATAGACAATCATGGCAGCTTGGAAATACTGTGCAGTGTGTAAGTGACACCAGAATACTTTGGATTGATGGTTGCCATAACCACAGGAAGTAAAGGATTTGTGTCAGAGAACAAATATTATGTTTCACTTAGCAAAGCATGGGGTTGTATTACTAAATTTATAGGTTAGAAATTGATATGATATACAATTTTTCCATTTTCTGCTTAAAAAAAGAAATACTAACCAACTCCACAATATAAGTTTGCTGTTTTGTTTCCTGCTGGAGGAGACATATTCAGTTGTTCACAAATATGCTCAAACTAAAGCTCATCATGGTAAAAACACAGAACATCTTTCCTCTTCTAGCCAGTGAGCTGCAGTCCATGCAGGTGGAGTGTAACGGCCTTCAGAAGGAGTGTTCTGTCTTGCGATCTGAGAGGCAGGACATAGTGAATAAGCACCAGAAGGAAAAGAGCGGTCTGCAAAGCGAATGTGCATCCCTCAGGGCAGAGAAGGAGGAACTCCTCAGGAGTCACCAGAAAGAGAAGGCCGGTCTGCAGAGTGAGTGTGCAGCACTGCGCAGTGGGAAAGAGGCAGTGCTGCAGACGCAGCAGCAGCTGGAGAAAGACCTTGTCAGGTCAGTGCGCTGATTTACTTTACCCAGGGTGTAGCTTTCCCCCCCACCTTTGTGTTTCTCCCGTGCCATTTGCCTGACACTGCTGCACTAGGCTTTGCTCTAAAGCCTACCTACCACACAGGTTTTTTTCCCCTCTCTCGCCTTGCACCTAATAAATATTTTTGTCTTATTGTTTTTCGGTAGTTTGCGAGGCAAGAATGCTGAGCTGAATAACAACCTCAGAGCCCTTGAGCAGTCCCACCAGCAGTTGGAGAAGAAGCTGGCGGCCTTGCAGCTCCAGCACGAGCAGGACAACACCAAGCTGCAAACCCAACTGGATGAGGCCGACAGCCACAGCAAGGCTCTGCAGAGAGAGGTACGCTCTCAAAGAGTCAAACCTGAGAGCTACAGGTTGCCTCCTTTGGACACATGATGCTCGGTGTTAGCACTCCTGCAAAATATAATCAATAGAACATTCTGTTACTGCTACCCGTAGTCATTTGGAATCCACATTCAACACATTTATCTGAGATAAGAGCAGATAAAGCAGAGTTTTAACTACCACTGGTCTGCTGCTGAATGGGTCACTTTGCAGAGCCAATGTTGACATGGTCTTACAGTATTAATGAAAGTTCCTCACAAAATCTGGGTTTAAATTTAATGGAAACCTTGTAAAAGATCACAGTTAAAAAATGTCAAAGATCCTTCACTGCAGACATCCTCCAGACTGCTATCTGCTGGCATGCTTGTGCTTTTTGTCTGAGTAATAATTAACTGGTTGGGTCAGCTTTTGTAACTCAGAAACAGTGCCAGCAGTGTAAAGAAAATAGAGAGGAGGTCAGGCTTAATCACATTTCATTCATCCTTATGTGGGGCTTTTCTTTCTGTCAATGAATGAAAAAGGCAACAGAGCTGTTCCTACAAAGGGGATTCACATCCAGTGCTCAGCTTGCCCTCATTAGTTAACCTTAAAGAAAAATTTAGCATGCAGGACATACTGTTTAATAAGAACTGTTTGTCCCTAAGTGTTGTCCAAAATAAATCTTTAAAACCTCCTTTGCACAGAATGAGGAGGCTCAGACTGAGCTTTCAGACCTAAAGGAAAAATGCCAGAAGACAGAGCAGGAAAAGCAGTTGCTCGCAGATCAGATGGAGGAATGCAAAGCCAGCATGAAAGAACTGCAAGAGAAAGGATCCAAGGTGAGAGCCCATCTGTCAGACACTGTCAATAATTGTTTTCTACTTGTTGTGTAATTGCATGTGACTCACAAATAATGTTTATAGAGGTGTAAAAATTGTGATCTGCTATTCAGATTCAGATCTCTTAAGAAGAAAACATTTTGGGATCATGAGCTTTGCTTTCAAATTTGCAACATTATGAGACACATCTTTTTATTTTGTTAAATGTTTTGGGCTTGAAATGTAAATCGCTCATACGAATGACAACACAACATTTTTATTCCACCAATTCTGCTCCTATCTACTTATCCAAAATCTTTAAATGTTGCTGTTGTGGCCCATTCACACATATGGATTCAGAAAGCTTGGCCCAACACTTCAAGAGGAGGCTGACAGAAATGTGGATTTTTTACGTTCAAGTTCTTTGATGCAAAGTGATCAACAGTTTGGCATGGCCAAAGTACAAGAAAACCCTTCAAATCAGGCAAAAAACAGGTTCCTGAGAGGTCATGTGCTGCCAGTAACTTTGTATCCATATGTGAGAAGGCACTGTTGAATAAAAGGCCACCATGTATGATTTAAAGATAGGATTAAAAAAAACACCAATTACAGATAACGGACCACTGAGCGACCTATTGATAAAACTGCGCCCAACCAAAGTATGTCCCATTGCAGTTGATTGCTATAATATCCCTTCCCTTCTGTAGACTTCCTTATTGCTGCCTGTTCAAGCCATAGTCATCGGCCTTATCCTGGCTTTGCTGTTTTGGTGCTTCGGCGCATTGTGGTAGTAAGGTATACATTACTCCTGTCAAGTTGGCCTACATCATTCATTTTCATCAGTGTCCTCCAGATCATTGCATGATTTAACAAGGTTTTCCTCATTTCCCAGAATGCCTTCCTTTGGGGAAACTGCAAAAATTGACATCTCAAAGGTCTAACCTCTCTAATCATGCAGTTCCAACATCTGTGTGTCCTGTCTAAATGGCTGATGCTTAACAACCGTTCCTCTTAGTTGGCTTTGATGATGCTTATTTTTGTCTGAAAGCGCTCTGTACGAATTTCACTCTCTCCTTTATCTTAAACTTAGTTATAAGCTCCCGCTGTCAAAGCTATGGCTGTCCTTGGATGGGTGGTTTTATCAGGTGATTAAGTTTTCTTTCCTCCGTTGCCATTTCTTTTCAGAAGCCATGGATGATCTGGGGGCCTGCGGTTGCTGTGGCTCTAACAGCTGTGACTGCTGCTGTGCTCTTCAGGACCTGAGGGCAAAAACACCCTCACACACCCTCACACAAACACACACACACACACACACACACACAATAAAACCAACATTTCTCACTTCTCCTCAGATGTTAAGACTTGCCCCCCCCCTACTATATCTGCACTATTAATTAGGAGGGTTTGGATATAACCATTTAATCCTAGGATGCTCTGTTTTAGATGGCGGCGGCGTTAATAAAAGAATGTCAGTTTTATGTGCAAATGAGTGCATTCGTAAGTCTGTTCTTCGGAGGAAATATTTTCAAGTGGGTTCTCTCCGGGTACTCAAGCATCCCCCATCCATCCAAAAACCTTAGGTTGATTGGACATTCTAAATTGGCCTTAGGAGTGAGTGTGAGTGTGCGTGGTTGTTCGTCTTTGTGTGTGTCTGTGTGTCCCATGGACTACAGGGATAGGCTCCAGTCTCCCGCGAATAAGTGGTTCAGAAAATGGATGGATGTTGGTTGCTATATTATTTTATAGAATTAACCATTAATGAATGTAAAACGGCTATCTACATTTGAATAATTTTCTGCAAATCTATAACAGAATTTTTTGGTGAATCACTTTGGTGCATCACTACATGTAGCACATCAGTGTAATAATTCGAATAATTAAAAACGGGCACAGTGACAGGCCATTTAGGAGTGCCTAATGAATGCAGTGGACGGGGTAGAGTACACAGTGGATGGTCATGGGTTGGGCTGCTAATATTCTATTAGAGAACTATTATAAGTGTGTAAATGGACAGAAGTTTAATTATTTCATCTGGTTCTTCAGGGGTGCATCATTAAACAGAATATCTGAAAATAGTTGTTAGATTGATTGATTCTTTCTTTCTTTCTTTCTTTCTTTCTTTCTTTCTTTCTTTCTTTCTTTCTTTCTTTCTTTCTTTCTTTCTTTCT